ACCGAAGGACATTTTGCGCAAGAAAACCTGGGAACTGGACAAGGGAATCAGGGACCATACAAGACGGGTAGCGATCCGTCTTGGGGGTGTCCCCAGAGCCCTGGCCTTGGGTTCGCCACTCGAAAAATCTTGATCCATAATCTATGGAATGAGGACAGTTTACAACTGTTGGAAACAGGAGGTATGAAACGAGAAAAATGTTGAAGATCCGTACCCTAAGGATCAAGGCATGGAACGAATGTCCGCACGCACCCTGTATACCCTGTTCCACACCCAAACGTTTTGGGGCACACCCATATTACACGACTCACTCGACAAAAGCACGACCATCAACAACATAGCGTATTAAGGACATTGATGTCAATGTGGTTTCGGCATCAGCGACGAAGCCAAGGTATGTGCTCTGTCAAAGCCGGTGATGGTCCCGGACGCTCAGTTGGACAAGTCCTTCGTGGAGGTGAGTGCCACTCTGCTCAGCTCACCAAGATGCAGCGGTTTCAGACTGCAGACGGATCTGTAAGCGCCCCTCGTTGACACCATGTCTGCACTCGAGGTACAGCCCGGAGAGCGACCTTGCAGTTTGCAGTTGAGCGCAATTTGCCGGTATGGACGCGCTCAATCGAAGCTTAGTCCAGCTCCAGTTGCCCTGAGATCGTCTCCCTGGTGAGCTCAAAGCGGTCATGTCTCCCGATCTTCACTGATGCTCACTCAAGGCCTGCGAGCCAAATGGCCTGTCGCATGTTACTCTTATCACTTCAACAGGCATGGAGGAGCAACATTGGAAGCGGCCTGCGAGCTCGGAGAGAATCCATGGATGGTAGGCTTCTTTCCAGGCCTTCCTGCAAAGGTTGATTTGTTCTTGTTCGGGCCCTCATCCATCTCTGTTGCATGGGAAGCCCACTGTAGGGCAAAAGGTGTCGCGGCCTCCACTTCAGTGTCTCATGTCTCACGTCTATCAAAAATACATCAATTAGCTACAGTACTCTCTCAGTGGACAGCACGGACTGGCAACTGTTCCCTCAAACATTCCAGTTTGCACGTAGCTCATTTCGTTGTGGTCTGGCACTCAACTAACAGGATTGGCAGGAAACTTCTTACGTCAAGGTTGTCACCACCCACATGCGGCTCCTTTGCGGCATTAAGCACACAGTGCTTGTGAGCTGCCACGAGTCCAACACATTCACGGTGTACGCGGGCATCGAAGTCACCTACCTCCAAGGCATCGGAGCAGATGCATTGGCATCATGCCAGTGCAAGCTGGAACACCATCTATCTTAAGGAAATCATAGCCTAGCACAGAGCGGCGATTCATGAAATCCGCAAGTTGAGTGCACATGAAGCCTTAGGAGATGGTGCCATGTCAAGTCACATGCTGGGCTTCTTCCAAATATGTCCTGGCTTTGTTACATTGTGTCTGTGACTCAGGGCACCCCGTTCCAGATCAGAAATTCCCTTTGCTAAGCTTCCATTGAAAACATCCTGAATCGGGAGCATGTGAATGCTCGTTCGGCTGGGCTCATCCCGGAAGCTGAATAAAACGCCTATGATCTTGGAGCCAAAGCTGTTGTCCTTGTCATCCCAGCCTCCTCTGCAATTCTAGCTCGAAGCATTCGCTGCACCTGCTCAGTGCAGCTCAAGCAGCGCGTGTATCTACAAACTTAAGGTCGTCAAGCAAAACATCTCCACTTCATGTCAGCCTCAAGAAAATGACTGTTCAGGATCAGCAGACCCGATTGCATGGCTTTGGGGGTCTGCGTTGCCCCTGTGTTCAAGCGTCTGCTACGGGGCTCACATCGGACTTGCGCTCATTCCCACCTCCCCCTGCTTGTTTGAAACCACGTGATTACTGCGAAGATTAAACAGATACTGTAGCAACACAATACGTACAGAGACATTCCTCCTATGATATTTTTAGCACATCTATGGTTGATTTCGGCCTTTCCGTGACTTGTCTGCTGCAGGTTGATTTGTCTGGCAAGCTCAGGGAGATTGACGAGACATTAGGTCAGTCATGGTCAATCGCAGCTCTCGGCCAGCACGCGAAAACATCTCTCAGTGTCATTGCTTCCTGCGGCCTTCTTCTGCAGCAGGCTCATGGTGTCGCTGCAGCCCTTGAAAGGAGCTCCCGACCACGACAACATTCTCACATCGACCACGCCTCTGAAATCACGGCCCATGCGTCATCGATGCGGTGCCTGCAAGTTGAGAGACAGTCAAGTTTCGGAGGACCAGCGGAGATCCCGAGGTGTTCACTCGATACTGTTGCCGCTTAGCTCCTCGTGAGAGCACGCGAAGGCACGGTGCAAGTTTGAATCTGACCCCTAAAAATCTGTCGCGATGCCGTGTGGCAGCAACCCATGCAGACAAGCGTCATCGTCAAGAGGATCCACGTCCTGCTGCAGATAAGGCGCAGGACATCATTGACACTGCTTGTATCTGCTTGTTGTTTGTGGAGGGACAGCACCTTACTTTGATGTGCTCGAGCTTGGTCCGACAGCACGCCGCAGACCTACAACCAGTCAACTTTCACGCAAAGGCACCAAACATGGAATCCAGGCTTGCTTCATTCAGCTACTGGGCGAAGAGCAGATTACTGATGGCAGCAGCCAGGAAAGAGTAAATGGATCCTGGGGGTCCCGCAGAAAACTCATGCATGCAAGGCGGGTAGAACACGCACGCCATGAGAACTTCAAATCATGGTCAGCGTGGAGGTCTCAGATCACAGGCGTAGAAGCGTTGCTTTTTTACTGATCGATTGTCGGCGCAACGCTGGCATGCACAGGCATGTCACTGGCATTTACGTGCAAAGGCTGTCGCTTCTCATTAGAGAAATCTGGTCGGTAGGGGTCGTCATCAGCAGCTAAGACCTCATATTGGTCTGACTCAAACCATGTGCTGGTCAGAAGCAGTACACAACAAAAACGGGACGCTCCACCAGCATCCTTGTTTAGCAGCTCAGGGGCTGAACCACTGAGAGCTCCAAGAATGGTGCTGAGCTGGGAATCATCGAGGGCGTCCTGTGCATAGCGCTGAGGCAAATAAAGTCTCTAGTTTTATGATTGTTCCCTACTACAAGGGATTTCCAAGGAGTATTTATCTACTACATGAAGCAGATGTGACTGTTTATGTTTCTAGGGAACCCCAATTTATGATTTCTAGGATTGAAGGAAGTGTTGGAGTTCATCACATTTTCGGTTTATGCACAGTTCATGCTTGTTTTATGGCCTTGTGAAGGGATTAGCTCAGATCTTGACCCCTTTCAACCCGAAGTTCTGTTTGAGATGAATCCTAGGAGTTGCAAAGCTGCTCTCCAAAGGTCTCAATGTTTCCCCCAAGATGCGCCTAGTTTTCAAAAACACCCGGCATTGGGTTGGGGGACATCTTTGGGGCGAGGGTGTTCTGGCTCTGGGTGGGATGGTCTGGGGTTTTGCTGGGCTTTGGGGGTGGGTCCGGTTTTCAATCTCAGGGTCTAAAGGGTGGTCTGGCCTGGGAGGCCCTGAAATCACCTGGGAGGCTGTGGGAGGTTCTGAGAAACCCTGGTTAAAGGGCTGAAGGCTGAGGGGAAAGGATTGGGGTTGAGGTTGTCGTGTTCTGAAAAACATCTTGCAAACCTTAACAACCCCTACGAAATTAAGGGTCAGGTCGTCAGTAATTTTTGTTTCTGGTCGGTTCGCTAATTCCGCTATTTTTGGGTGACCTCGAGTGATCTCGCTTCAAACTGCTCCAGCCGGGAGAAATTCCATGGTTGCTTCTACTGCATGTTCGATAGCTGAAAAAATCCATGGGTGTCTTTACGGACATGCATGTTCGAGATCGGAAGAAAGTCGAGGGCTGGCTGTACAGATATGCATGCTCGATAGCTGAATTCAACGGTTGGCTTTACGGAAATGCATGTTCGAGACCTGAAGAAATTCGACATAATTCGATGGTTGCCTTTACGGAAATGCATGCTTGATAGCTGAAGAAATTCAATGGATGCCTCTACGGAAATACATATTCGATTGCTGAAGAAGTTATTCTATGGTTGGCTGCAGACATTGGATGGCTGCCTTTACGGAAATGCACGCTCGATCGCTAAAGAAAATCGATGGTTAGTTTGCAGGTTGCAGGCTTCCTCGTCGCCAGTCTGCAGTGGCCCCTCATTTTCCTCGTCGCCAGTCTGCAGTGGCCCCTCATTCTCATGCCTTGCACAGCGTAGCACGCGCTTGGGTACATTTTCGGAGGAAATGAATGTCAACGAGACATCGCTGTTTGGACATGTCTGGACACCTTCGCTACAGTATCGCCTTTAGGACCTAAAGCAAACCTCTGAGGCAGTCTGCACTAGAGGCTCCGTGGAATCTTGCTCGGTCAGGTCAACAGCCGCAATCCCTCCCAGGCGACATCTCAAGCAGCAAGACTCTGACTTCCACAATAAAGCAAACGTCCATACACGATGCGACGACCACCCGCACAAAGCTGCACTCAGTCTTGCCTCCGTAGGGATCTCTGCATGGCGGAGCCGGCGTGACAGATAGCTTTCTGCGCTTTGCCTGAAATTCAGGTTAGTGGTGGTCCATACATGAATGCATGTTGTAGAGCGCAACACATCAGATGCGAAAGAGAGCGTCAGAACTGTGCACAGCTGCAGGCCACCGCAAAAAAAAAACGGGGTGCAGCGCACCACAGAATATGCGACTGGGGCGCGACGCTTCCGCCTTCGAGCTTGCGACTTTTGGCAGCCTTTCGTGCTTCAGCAGCAGCTTCTAAAGCCAATATGGCAGCATTGTGCGCTCCTTAGTGGAAATGGTCAGGCTTTTTTGGCTGAGCCTTCAGCTCAGCCTCGTCTCAGCTCAAAAATGCTGTGCTAAATGGTCTTGATTCTATCTGCTTGCATCTCGAGATGCGGACCTTCTGCAGCAGCTCCTAGTCTTAATGTTCGCGCATGGCAGCTGTAACACGCAGCTTGGATCAGGATGACACAGACCTGTCTTCATCTGTCCTGATCCTATGCAACTTGCTTAGCATACAGGACCTCTCAGGCGCTCCTGGCATGATGCTGAGGAGAACCGGGCGGCTCCAAATGCTTCTAACTTCGCGACCTGCTGAACCTTCCTTTCGGCGTAGTCCTTCTTATCCAGAATCAATGTGACAGCGGGAAAGGTGCACAGCGTCCAGCCTGCAAAGACTCTCCACGTTCGCTCCTGCCGGAAAGCAAACTTGGAGCAATACTTAGCATCCAAGGCCTGCAAAGCAACGCTGATCATTACTTGATATCACTCGTGCAGCTGATGAGGGTCGGGAGACTCTGGCTAAACACGGATTCTCTTGTTGCTAAAGCCCTGATCCTGTAAATGCTGCCAAACCAATGATAATCCTTGTTGCATTTTAAGCCGCTATCTGTGGAAGCTCTGTGCTCGCTTCCGTGGCGATGGCTTGCATATCTTGGTTTGTGTATGTTTGTGTCTGATGGTATCTCGTTGCAGGTGGATGTTGCTATGCTTGATCTGCTTCGAGTAAGCATTGTGCGATGGATTCTGGGTTCCGAAAAAATTAGATGAATTCAAATGAAAACCTCTTGCGAGCGTGAATGTAAGGGCCAAGAGCCTGGCGCTGGTATTGGTATCAGGTGTCACCGGGATCTGATCAAGGACGCCTAGATCAAGCGACTAAGCTCAGCACACTCCCAGCGCAGGCATACAGCTTTCAAACTGTTCAAAGCCCTTGGGCCGCCTTGCACGTTGCACGTCTGCCCCATGCTTCGCCAGCAGACGAAACATTCTGAGACTCCAGTTCCGTAGAGCGTAGAATATTGGATGCGCACCTGGTGCATTTTGCAGCATGACACGAGAAGAGCTTCTGATCTGAACCTGAGGCTTTTGCCCAAGCTGTTGGGAACATTGGGATCTGCACCTCCAGAAACGATGCAGCAGCTGCATCCGGGCAAACGAGATGCCGTGCCAAAGTGTCAGCGACATGGCAGCACTGTTCGAAAGATTTGCCCCAAGGCCTAACATGAGCAGCTGCTTGACAGACTCCACCTTGCCCTGTGATGCAGCTGTGCACAAGGGAGTCCAGCCAGCCTCTTGCAAAGATACCACGGCTGGATTTGGTGCACGTGTGATTGGAAAGGAGGGTTGATTCGGCAGGCTTGAATGCCTTGCTGGTGTTGACATCCATCTTTGATGCCTGAATTTGCTTCGGACCCGAGTCTGCCTCAGCTTCTCGATGGGAAACTTCAATCTCCTCAACAGCATGCACTCAGAGCGGACTACCCAATGCGTTCGCGTGTGGCATTCCTGACGTTGCTGAGTCTTGCACAGTAAGGTCGACGGTGTCAAGGGATTTGTCAAGCAAGGAAGATGGCATTGTGATTGTCGGTCCTCTATGATGGCGATATGCTGCTTCCGTCCTCATCTTGGAAGACTCCTAACTTTGCTTTTCATAGGCCCTGCAGGCTGCTGAGTCGTACAACGTCGTACATCCTTTTGGCCCTGCTCCGGTATGCGCTAGTCGCAGTGCTGCATCAAGATACTGGACGGTGGCAACCATTGAATTTAAGGTCAGCTAGGTTGGCTCTTCGCTTAGCTGAACAAGCTGCCGTAGCAACCCCGAAGCAGTGTAGCAATCTTGACATGAATTGAATCAATCCACGCGATAGCAAACAGCAGGGCGCATAGTTATCCTGCCACGAATACAAAAAAATGATCAAAAAAGGACGGATTGGAAAGCAAAAGCTGTGCAGGCGATGGACACGACAGCAAGCGTAAGATGGCCAGGCATCGGAAACAAGACTGTTGCAGAAGCGCTTGCAGCAGTCTCTGGAAGAACCGAAATGCGGTCATCTTCTGGTGGCGTCACGCAAATCCGATCATCCTCAGCTTGCTTGTAGGCAGCAGAAAATTCAGAAATGCAGGTTTGCTATGTTCGCTGTCTGTTCGCTGGAATCAGTTTCGACAATTACCATTGATCGTTGGGCATCTGAGTGCTGGGATCTGTTCCTGGATGTACGCGGTCGGCGCTCCTCTCGCTCTTCGGAGGCCCCTCGTTCAGCGTTGCCATCCAACGTTTCAAAAACACCAACCTCAGTTGGGGCCCCAGTTGGGAACAAGGACAGGAGCGGCAGGATCCATCGGGAAGCAGACAAAGATGCACGTGCATACCATCTACAACATCACCTGCAACAAGCTATGTATTCAAACTCGGCTTGACCTGTAGTTACCTGTAGTCGTGTGCGAACAAACACGCCACGCTGGACACAGACCTGGCAGTCGGCATCCCCTAGGCTGCAGCAGACTAGAAACACTCAGCATAGTAACACTTGTTTCATTGCTTTTTGGTATCAAGAGATACGATCGAGCTCTACATTACATGTAATTAATTGGGAAGGAAAGTCAACTGCTTGTTGGAAGTTTCGCAGGTCAGTATCATACCGATACATTGATTGATCGACGGCAGCAATGCTTTGAGAGAAAGAGTTACAGACTATTTATTGCACGTCAAGCAACATCAGAATCGAAGAAATATTTCATGTGGACACGGTCTTGGCTATAGGAATACCAGTTTCTGATTTCCACTGTTCGAAGTGTATGCAGCCAGTCCTGGCAGCAAACATGTTAGCCAGGCACAACAAGGCTGATTGTCATTTCATGCCCCCTACGGGGTCAGCTTGCCTTGCAGGCGGTCCTTGTAGTTATCATTGTCCAGAATGCGGCAGTTTCTGTGATAAGCACACTTTATTGTCATTTCATCATCAGCACTCCTGTTGATCAACAAGCGACAGGAGGTACTGAGCCTTGAATGATGGATCAGCAAGTGTCTCCTTTGGTTGACGCCTGGTATTCTCGGAGTCTCTTGTATAGACTCACATTGGCTGCGTATGTCCTGCCAAGGCTACCCAACAAGTGTTTGCCAGGTTGTACAGGGTGCCGCAGGACTCTTGCAAGGCACACTGAGCGACTCGCTCCTAGCATAAGATGCCAAGCAGGAAATAGCATTCGTTAGGCCGCCGTGTATCAGCATCACACAAGTAGTGGTGCTCAAAACAACCACAGCACTGCGCCCATGCTTATTGTGCCAGTCGTTGCCAATCACATGTAAGTGGAGACATGGTGTGGATGTGTGGTGTGCACTGGTCTTTTGCCAAAATTCACTTAACTACACAGCGCAACCTTTCCCAAAATATAAAAGGAGGTCCTTAAAGCATCCACCCATCAAACGTCTTGCAAAATAAGTTTCGACCCAACATCTGGGCCATCATAGCGAGCCGCAAGCAGGATTGCATCAAAAGAACAGCTCGAGCGCCAAAGTTAGCTGCAACAACTACACTTCCGAGAAAAAAAAATCGAGTTGGCTTGCGCAACAAAGCAAAAGCTGCAGGATGGTCCAAACGGAGCGGAGGACGCTGCAGGCATCTGGGCTCAGTCGGTGCGGGCTGACGATGAGCGCAGTGCGAGAAATGTCCCTCCCAAGGAGAAATGAGCACCTGGCTGGCTATTTTTGGCTCTGGTAAGACGTTTGCTTAAGTCAGAGGGCTCGGGATAAGTGTCACCTTCATGGGGTTCCATTTGAATTTGCAGGATGATACCCAAACATCTCTGAGCAAACTGACTCACAGGCTCCTTTGTACAAGGACATCGGCCGCTCTTGCTGGGTGGCCCTTGGGAGTCGTCACCCATGAAGATGCCAGACTGGGCCAGGTCTGATCAGTTTAACCAGAACGAAACACTGCGCGGCGCGACTTACCGCTGCCGACCGTCGAGGATTATGGCGTTCTTCGCCATCACTGCATTTTCGAGATGTTTTTGGGATGGAGGGTTTAGGCAAAAAACGGGAATGCAGCTTCCGGCTACTTTTTCGTGTGATTGGATCACAGGCCTGTAAAGGGACCCGGGATTGCTTGTCATGTTGTTATGTTATGTTATGTTTCTGTTTCTCGGGGTGGGGTGGAGCTGGCCCTAAAGTTTCTGATTTTCGAAGCTTCTCAAGAACCACACATATGGTAATTTCCAGTGTTCCTTGTTTCCATGATCAGAGGCAAGAAAACTGGTGAGCAATGCTGAACTTGATGAAAACTCATGAAGGGTGATGCAAGAATGACGGGAAAGTGGAAAAATATGCTAAAAATAAGAAAAGTGATGAAGTCATGAAAAATGATAAGAAGCTGTCAAAAATTACCAAAAAACGCCAAAGATGCTTAACACTTATGAAGACATGAACAATGACAAAAACGGTGAAGCTGGATGGAAACCTATGAAAGTTTAGGAAATGTGAAAGGAATGAATATGGTGAGAAGTGATAAGATACGATGATGCAAAAACGATGAACCATGATGAAGTCTTAAGAAAAATGATGACCAGCGCTGAACATGATGAAAATTATTGCAACTGGTGAAGACTGATGACGATCATGAAAGAAGCATGGAAACTGCTGAAACATGATGGAATACCGGGCGGTTGGGTGGGACGCAGCCCCCCATTAGAAAACTTACCTGCATTAGCGCCCGGACTGCAGGACTAGAGGATCAGAAAAACAACTGCCAAATCAAAGAGTCCTCCCCTACGAAAGGGGCTTCTGGCCACGCCTTGGCTTGGGAATGTGACAAGAGCTTGTTGGGTTTTCAGCGCCTTTTCGAGAATTGACGGCATGAGAATCACCTCTTAACAGGGCCAGAACATGATGCTGCCAATGTGAAAGCACCACAACTAAGGCAGATGGCCTCACCGCCTAGCAAGCAGGCAAGAGTGAGCAAGCAGGCAAGCAAGCCAGCAAGGCAAAGATTTCCGCTGAGGCGAGATGTCTCATTTTAAAAGATTTTCCATGCTGTTACGGACCTAGGCCAGATTTGCGGAAAAAAGCGAAGTCTGTCCTGTGGAATCTCGTTCACCATCACATCACCATCCCAGGCTCTCCAATGTTGGTAGATTACGCCGATAATCTTCAAGCCTCGTCTTGTAAGCTCCTTTACCTTGGCTGACAGGAATCACACATGGCCTGGCGCAAATCTTGCACACCCTATCACACTCTGTTCCTGCTTCACAACTCATGTCTCTGCTACAACAGCAATCAAGCTTTCAGGCTTTCAGCCTTGCTACGCAAGCATGCGCAACGCAAAGGCCAAACGATTCAACTACCTAGCCGATCTTTGAGGCACAATTCCAGGAAGCTCCTTCTACCAAGGAACACAGCGGCGAACTCCTTCCCAATTGTACCTTGGCTCCTTACCCTTGTTGAAGATGGCCCCGAAGCTTGTTCCGACCTTTGCCATCTTTGCACTAACTCCAGATAGCACTGAACCAGCCGGCAAGGCATTTTGAGATACTGACTGAGGCTAGGACGTTGTTGAAGTTGACCACAACTAACTTTAAGTTGTAAGGTCTTCCTTCGTTGTCCACATCTGGCAGCTTGTTGGGCAGCTCCTGAAGCAACAAAATCCCCACAAATACGTGCTGCAAATCTGCAAGACATTGCCGCACACCTTGGTGCCGAGATGAGGTTTTCGGCCCACTGTCGGCCCCGGTGGCCTAGGCTGTGGCCTAGCCGGCTGCGGCAGGGCCAGCTGCGGCTGGATCTTTGGATGCAGGCCATTGCTGCTTGCAGCAGCACCTGCAACTGGAGCGGTCTGTCAAGTGACGAAACTGAAGCAAGCAACATCGATAGATTTACCTACCAGGCCACCTGTAATTACGTGTACCTTCAACCCTCCCACGGAGATTCCCTGGGCCATGTTCGGGATTTCGGATGATGGCTAGCCAGGCCAGCTGCTTACTGCTCATCTTTAACGCTCAAATACCCATCATTCTGGGCTCCGTCCCGTACGCCATCCTCTCCTCCTCCTCCTCCTCCTCCTCCTCCTCCTCATTCACTCCTCCTCGGCGTTGCTGTCCTCGTCGTCATGTTCATCCATCGTCGTCGTTATCCATTCCCTCGTCGTGGTGGTCGTGCACGACGTCGCCGTTGCCGTCCTCGTCCTAGTCCTCGTCATCGTGGTGGTGGGTGCGTGGTGGTGGATGGTGGTGCATGGGTGGTGGTGGGTGGGTGGGTGG